TTGTTCATACAGGCTGTCCTAAGTGATGGTACCTCTGCTTTTCTGCTGTTGTCATTTTATGCTTTTGTCTTCATTTTTAAGCTTGTATATTTTATTGTGGATTTATAGAATCATAGAAAAATGGAGTTAGAAGGGGGGCTATATGTTGTATCATTTGTACACAGCTTAGAAATGTTTGGTTCATAAAGATTGGTAAATAAAATGTAGCAGTGCCATAATAAAACTAGTTTTGAGCAGGTGACTTGACTGAAGTCCCAGTTTCAACTGATAATCAAAGCTAGGAAATGTTACCATTTTAGCTTATAATTCCTAATATCTCTGTACTACCACACTCACTGGCTACAACTCTTAAGAGCTGCAATCTACAATTTTTTTCAGCCTCTGGAAAAAATCTTACTGTGCCCCAAATGAAGGGTGTGGAGAGCAGGTAGGCTTGGTGATGAGCAATCCTTAGGTGGTAGACACCAGCCCCCTCCTTCCTGCCCCATGTGGTCTCCCACCTCAGCCTCTGAATAAGTGGATGTGGGGTCAGTATGTGGCGGCAGCTTCAATATGGTGAATCTAGCTGGAAATCCTTAGTGGGTCATGACTCCCCAGGTGGCCTTCAGCAATTGTATGCTCAGCGTAATCTTCCCTCTGACTGAGTTATTGTAAACTTAACACAAACCGGCATGGACCGCTGAACACTTCCTTAGAGGAAGGAAATGATACAAATGCAACAGATAAAGAAATGGCACATGGTTAGCCTGAATGGGTGGGGTGTAGAATACATTAAGTGCTTTTAAATAGTCTTTTAAACAGCCTGTTGTGATTTCCATCCAATACTACTTAGAAACCACAAGTGAATGTAAGATAAACTCCATCTTCATTTTGTTTCCTTCTGACCCTATATGGAGGTTCTACCTGTTTTCATGTGGCTGATGAGAGAGAAGGTTTCTGTCTCCTACTTAATGGTCTTGTCTTTCTGTTCTTTGTGAGAGCCCCCCCCCAAAAAAAAACTTTTCCAGCATACCACTCCAAAATAGTAATTGTAACAACTTGGGAATGCTTTCAAATCAGACCTTTGTATACATTTTCTCCTCTGTCTTCTGGCCCCCTGCCAGTCTACCTGACTCAAAGTGTTTATACCATTGCTATGACATAAACTCTGCCTGATGGACCACATAAGCTCTTGTCTTTGTCTGGCTTTTTCCTGGCTGGTTGCCCTTTCTCATCCTGACCCCATCCTAGATTTGGAAGAGAGCTGCTTTTATTCCACCTTCACTGTGAAGAATGTCACATCACAACAACCTTGTGGAACTATACCTTTGGTTTATAACAACCCGTCAGGTTTATATTACTGCACGGTTGTGTTTTACAGAAGCCACAGGCTGCCGTTCCTCCAGCTATGTCAAATGCTTGGAAGTAAGTCTGTTTAACACTCCCAGTCCCTCCCTCATTCTCTCTCTCTCTCTCTCTCTCTCTCTCTCACACACACACACACACACACACACACACACACACATAACATTTTGTAACAGATGTTTTTTTCGTGATTGGCATCTATGTAGAAAGACATAAATTTGACCATGCCCTTACAGTGGTGCCCCGCATGACGATGATAATCCATTCCATACAAATCACTGTTTAGTGAAATCATCGTCTTGCAAAAACCGTTTCCCCATTGGAATGCATTGAAACCCGTTTAATGCATTCCAATGAGAAAAATTGTCGTCGTTTCGTGAAGATCGCCCATTGGGCAGCCATTTTGCGACGTGCCGATCAGCTATTAAAATGGCTGTCCTGCAAAGCATTGGTCCCGAAAACATAGGGAATCCATTTTGCGAAGCCACCAAGCAGCTGTAAAAACTGTCATCTTGCGAAAAAACGGTCCGCGAAGCACGGACCAAATCATCGTCCAGCGAAAATCGCCCACTGAAATCTCTGTTTTGCGAATCGCTATAGCAATCGCAAAACCTCATCGTCATGCGGATTCATCATTTTGTCAGGTCGCCGTCTAGTGAGGTACCACTGTATCAGCCAGGATGCTCCTGGATTCATTCTGAGCCTGGATGCCCAGGTTTTAGCAGTGACCAGGAGTGCCTTTGGCGAGTTCAAAACATCGCTGCCAGACTGCTAATGTGCTGGTCACAGGGATCACATAATGCCCCTGCTACAGCGCTCCACTGGCTGCGGATCCATTTCCAGGTACAACTCAAAAGTGCTGGTTCTGATCTATAAACCCCTAAATGGCCTGGGTCCAAGCTATTTCAAGGACCATGTCTCCCTTTATGAACCTGCCCAAGGGTTAAGGTTATCAGGAGAGGTTTTTCTCTTAGTCCCATGATCCTCACAGGTGTGTTTGATTGGTACAGGTGAAAAATCTTTCTCTGTTGCTGCTCCCAGACATTGGAAGACCCTCCCACAGGAGGCCAGGCTTGCTCCATCTTTGCTGTCCTTCCACAAACAGGCAAAGACCTTTCTCTTTAGGCAAGCTTTCCCTTAATGACTGGCTGCCTGAGTGAGGTTTTTTAATGGATGGTTTTGCCTTACTGCCTTGAATGCATTTTTGGTGTTGGCTTTATTATCTTTTAGTGTGATATTTGTTTGAACTTTTTTTAGTATTTGTATACTTCCATTTAATGATGTAAGCCACCTAGGCTCCTTCTTAAAGAGAAAGGCAGGGTAAAATATTTTTAATAATAATAATAATTAAATTATAGTCTGCAATTATGTACTAGATGTCCTATGTGTTCCTTTACGGTAGATCTATCAGCATTTTACTGTTGATGTAAGGCACAGTATAATAACCCTGTTCTTTCAACAGCTAAGCATAATGCCTTTAGTTTTAGTTAGTGCTCATTAGCTATGTAGTCTTATGGGAAACAGTAGCAACAGAGTAAAGAGAGCAACAGTAAAATAACTCAGAAACTTTCAGTTTCGTTTTTCATACCATGTACTGGTTTGCTCATTGGCATCAGTGGGACTTTCCCACCTCAACAAATATCACATGCAGAGGATTGCCGCTAAGGAAGACAGAAGTAAAATTCCCCATTGATGTGATCTGCTTTTTGTAAAATAAAACAAAACAAAAACTTACTTAGCTTTCAGCATGTCTTCAGTTCAGTAATATCTGTTACTGGAAGTGCTATCTGTGAATAGCATAGCCTTGCAGATTTGGAAACTACCTAAAAGATATATAATCTAATCCCGGGGTCCCTGACCCCCAGTCTGCGGCCTTGTACCGGGCGGTGGCCTTGGCAAGACCAGGCTGCAGAGACATATCTCCTGCCCCCCCCTCGCACGTATGCTCCCCACACATGCACAAGTACCCCGCACAAGTATTCCACCCTTGGAATACAAGAAACCTTGGAGGTTGGAGGTTCATTGATTCTCTGACCCCTCTTCTATAATACTGTCTTGTGAGCAAGAGCAATTAAAGAAGATTGTGATCTAAGATAAAAACTTATCATACATGTTTGTCTTAGTTTATACAGTACTGGAAGAAAAAATGTCAGAGCTGTCAAACCAAACTAAGTGACATGCGTGCATATTAAGCCCTTGATGTATTTGCTCCCAATCGCTATGCCCATTGTTCCTTGCAGGTATATTGTGGATCTATGTACACCTAGTGTCCTTAATGAAGATTCAAGAAAAAGACACACTCACTAAGTCATTCTCCTGAAAGCAGCTGCTGTCATTTTCTTTTTGCAATTGTCTTCTCTTCCTTGCTATCACTATTTATTAGTTTCATTAAAAAATATTCATAACAGTTGGGCTCCCTCCCACCAGGACAACTCAACATTTTCACTTACTGAATTCCCTGCCAACTCTCTTAGAAAAGGGAATTATAAATCTTGCTGTAAATTCTTCCCTGTATCAGGCTCACTAGAGAGGATGAGGAACTGCAGTGTTACTTTCCTCACTCTGTAAGAGGATGAGCTGTTTTGTAGTCCTCTTGGCCACAAGAGAGAATGAGAACGAAACCATTTTTGTGCAGAGTAGGCACCACTATGACACAAATTATTAGAACTTTAATGCAAATTGCTAAAAATGACAATGGCTTTTTTTTTGTTTTTGTTTTTTTGTCAACAAGGTCTTTTAAGGATTAGATTGGAAGCTTGGGAGGCAGCATTGCCTCTATCAACAGTCAGTGAGTTCTGTGCTTGGTGTGTTTTCATTTTTCCTCTCAAAGGGAAATTACGCTGGTTGTGCAAAAGCAATTTGTACAAATTAACAGATACAATGATTTGGGGAAGTAGGAACCCTGCACTGATGAACTTGGTCTTCTTTACATCCCTGTTGACAAGTTGAGGAGAATAGAGGTTCCAACATCACTTGGAAAAGTTATTTCTTCACCCATAGCTCTCAGAATCCTTCAGCAGCATGGTCACTGGCTATGTTGGCTGAGGGATTCCAGTATTTTTTGTTGTCCAAATAAGTTACTTCTCCAGGCTCAACTTAGTAATAACGATGGAAAAAAGACTCTGTGTTCAGAAACAGTATACCTTAGAGGTATGTGGACTCTGTTTTTGGACTAGAAGTCTCAGAATTCTCTAGATGTCCTAGCCTAACATTAATATTCACATCTCTAGTGTACAGTATATCAAAATATGAGATACCAGAGATGATTAATAGAGCAAAGGTGTTCCCTTCATTTAGTACATTATACATTTCCTGGGAGTATCTGTCTGGCTTAAGGATGCACCAGACATTTGCAGAGATAAAAAATTGAATTTTTTGTTCTCACTGGCAAATAAGTGGAGATTTGCATTGTATTCTGGCTATTTTTCAAAGCTGAATAGTAGATCTAAACAGATGTTTGGTTTGATCAGCAGCATTATTTATGTTGTAGATGAAAATATATACTTTTCTTCCACCACCAGCTGCTCCCTGTAGTTTTATAATCTTCCTTTCACAAGGAGCCTTGGCCTCTAAATCACCTAAGGTTCCCTTCCAAGTCCCTACCTCCAATCAGACAGTTTCAAACATGCACATGCCATTCTTTTCTCCTTTTGCAGGAATCTACATCCTGATTGCTGTTGGAGCAGTGATGATGTTTGTGGGTTTCCTGGGATGCTACGGTGCTATCCAAGAGTCACAGTGCCTTCTGGGAACGGTAAGAGACCATTTTCTGTGCATATACTACATATTAACTGCTTGATACTATACCAGTGCAGTGTGAAGGTAAATGCAAAGATTTGGCAAGGGAAGAGCAAAGTCTGCAGAAGTCAGGCAAACTCAAGACTTCATTTTGGAAAATCAGCAACAAACAGATTCCAGGAGAATTGGCAACAAACTTCCCACTCAGTAATTTAAAACAGAACTGTCTGAAATGTGTAGGATGTGGTTCTGAGAAAATATTCTTCATTGTCAGAGTGAGGGGAATAGATCAATAGCTTGATTTCTTCTGTCCCTGACACATTCATCTGCCAGGAGCAACTTGCGCCTCTGCTCCCATCCTGTCCTTATGTATTGTATGTGCCGTGGTCCTCCAGAGGCCTGGAACATCTGCAGCCACCCTCTCTATTTACAGAGGCTTTTTCGGTGTTTGGAACAATATGGCCTAGCTAATCCCCCTAATCTTGTAAAAATTCTGCTTTAGTTCCTCTGGCAGATCCAACTTTTTGCAACCCTTGAAAGAGGGAGAGAAATATAGTACTACATGCAAATATAGAATATAATTAAGAGTCCTGTTTATTTAAGAGTCTAATTTTTGGAGATTTTTATAAAGGCCGGTTGTCAAGTTGCATTACTCAAGTAAATGTTTGTACATAAGTGTCAATCACAATGGACAAACTGTCCATTTCTGGGTTATCTTTACATAGATGTCCGTGATTGGTTTTGAAACCCCTCCTTTGGATTTGTCCTGTTCACCACCAAGGGAAAATAAGCATTTCCTCATTGTCTAATTGTTTACATTGCATTTTGTCTCTGGTGCCCCCGTGGTCAAAGCCTTCCCTTTGGAATGCCCACTGTCATTCTTATCTTGCCTTGTTTACTGACTAATTCACTCGTGGTTACAAGGGCTGAAATCAGCCAGGGGTCAGGGAATGCTTAACTCTAGAATATAGCATACTTTTTAGCATATGCAGGCATTTACCTTAAGAAAGATGCAAGACTATAACATTCTGTAACAGTCTCCCTTCCTACTTTTTGTATTTTCACCTTTTTCTAGCCATTCTTTCCTTCTATCCCCTGAAAGTCCCTCTTAATAAAGCTAATTTTGAAGCATGTTAGTCTTGCCTTTCTAGTTCTTCTACTGTCACCTAGAGGCCCCTTCAGTCCATGAATGTGCAGTTGCCACTGGTTGTGCATAATCTAAAATATTCTGTTCTTCCAAAACGTGACAGGGATATTGTATTTCCCCAGTGGTGGGAAGCAGTGGCTTGAATCCAGACCTCCACAAGCAAAGCAGTGCTTGTTCCTTCTTCCCCACTGCAGCCTCTGTTTGCTTCTGATGGGTTTTGTTTGGTGCGCCATTCCTTTTCCAGCCTCTTCTCCATATGCCACTTCCTACACTTGTGTAGTGGAAGGGATGCATATCCTAAGCCAGCTGCAAGAATTTATGATACTTATTTTGGCAGAGTGCAGCACATGGTTAAGGTGAGGTGATGGCCGTTATCACTCAAGATCCTTGTGGTAAGACAAAAGGAAAAACATAGATTTATTTCTCCATGAGGCCTGTTCAGTATGAAATGGGATGAAACCTAAACTGGAGTACAAAAGCCTGAAGCTTCTTTTTGTTCAAGCCTGCTGCTGACAGCCAACCTGGAGGCACTATCTTAGCTGGCTTTCCCTCCCAGACAAAGAAGAGTGAAGAACAAAACAGTTTCCTTGAAGAAAGGGGAAATGATCTAAGGAGGAAGTGACCTAAGGGCAACAAGTGTTTCCTTAAAAAGAAGCCAGGATGCTACTTAGCTGTCTGTCACCCTGCTGTCTGCTGTCTACCTTAAAGACAACCTTCCTGCCCTTATTCTCACAGTAGGAAAGACAGAGTAGAAAAGCCTCCATGTATTACCGCCGTTCCACTCAGACAAGCCTGGATCCAGTCCTCTGTATCCACTGTATCTATGGAGAACCTAGTTCTGTCCCCAGAGGGCACATCTGTTGCTGTTTGTGGACTGTTGTGTAACCTGGCCATGCGTGTTTCTACTCTAACCTTTAGCTGTTGTTTTTATGTCAGTGGTAATGAACAATACAAAGTCTTAATGTTGCACCATTTGGGTTTTTTTTCCCCCAAAATGTTTTAAACGTTACAGAGCTGGAATGCCCTTCTCCCTTAGCACATCTGCTACCTTTTAAAATGTGGCAAGTCTACTGCCCTTCTTGTTCTGCAACAATGGTTTTTTTCCCCCCTTGAGTCAACCTTTTGCTGTTCTTTAGTTCTTTGGAGGATCTGTGATCCTATGATTGAGACCATCTAGGCAAACTTTTACCACGCATTCCATAAAAAACCCCATCCTAATCATGCTACCTCCTTCCTTCCTCTTATTACCTACAGTACTGGCTTTTTAATGACATTTATTAATTCACTGCCTTGTTATTATATCTGTGCATTCTTACACATTTGGACAAGGCCTCTTTCGTTTTAGTCACACTGTCACCTTTTTAAAAAATCTGATATCTTTTTTTTCCTCCCATAGTTTTTCACATGTCTTGTAATACTGTTTGCTTGTGAAGTGGCTGCTGGAATCTGGGGATTCGTTAACAAGGATCAGGTAATGGACTTACTATGATAATTTATTGTGTATTTTTGTGTCAAATGGAGCAAGGAGGAGGAGCTTACCCACAGCTTTTCTGCAGCGGCAGGAGGTTGGTCACAGTGTAGCTAAGATCCCCATGGCAAAGGGTAGGGTGTTCACTGTGGCACAGATGTAATTGGCCAATGCTTCTTAAATTTGCAAGTTATATTTATTTCCATCTCTCAGAATCCCTGAGTTAGGCAGGTTGGGGCGAATGTCAAATGAAAGATTTTTAAAAGACAAAAGACCGATACTGATGTTGCAGCTGCTTTTGC